CGATCTTCAAGCACTTCACCTTTCTTAAGGACAGCGAATGTGCCTGGGCTATATGTTTACCAGTATCTATTTATGTCAAAATCACCGAGCTCTTTTGCAATACTCTTAGCCTCCCTTTAATTTCTCCCAGCACCGGTAGTCAGTGAACCCACTGATTTCCACACATTTGCCCAACACGAAAATAATTTCCCCTGTCTTACTGGTCTCTTCACCTCTTCTTAACATTCTCTCACACTTTTCATTCCCATATACAAGACTCCCATTTGTGTAATTTCTTCCTTCCTCCCGCTCAGATTGTTCACACAGCTTTTGTCAGGCTATGCCTTCCACTGGAGAAGAAAGGGAAGAGCCTCGAACCCCTCTGCGCAGACCGAGGACAGCAAACAGGAGCCATCTCACCCCTAATTCTCAAAAGGCGAGGAGTCCCTTAAAGACGCCAGAGAAAAAAAATGAAACTGCTGCTTTTCTGTTTTGAAATGTCTTTTGAAGTGGCTTCTGAATAGTGGGTATCAGCTGGTGGCACATGCTGTTGAGCAGAGTGTGGATGGAGCATCACAGCCCTCCAGCCCGGTAACACGTAGGCTTCTGAAGGTTCGCCTCAGTTCTGAACTCTTTCAGGTCTCGATAATTAAGAGATCCATGAACTAGAAAATGCAATAAAGCATCACGGAGATGAAAGGAAACAGCAGAGGTGTTTGGGTTTTGCTAAGTAGGAAGGGACTACTTGTGACTTTATTCACACTTTTACAGTGAAGCAGAGCAGGCACAGAAATCCAAGGCTTGAAGATATTTGCGCCACTATTTACACGCACTTTATAAATTTCAAAAGGAAAACAAGGAAGTTACAACAGGAGAAACTGGCATGATCAAGAGATGATTTCATCAGCTTAAGGAAGAATAAAGATGAATTTCTATGCGGGAAAGAAGACCCTGAGGAAAAAGATTATTGAGGAATGATGGCAAAGGACGAAATAAAGTCGACAGTGAAAGAAAGCAAAAAGCACATATGTTTTCAGGAAGAATTAAATATATAATAAGCACCTAACAGTAGAAGGAAGGTATTAGGGAAAAGAAGGCAATTTTTTAAAAAGCAGAAATTTCAAAACAGTGGTTTGGAGACTTGCGTCTGATTGTGCAGACTTCAGAAGTAACGGAATAGCATCTTCTATGAGAATTAACTTGGCCATTTTCAGTTAAAATCACCTTCTATACTAAAATTCTTCAAAGGAAAAGAATAAAATGGGGTTTATATATTGGAAGAGCTGCAACCTCCGTGTTGAGGAGGCTTTAGCTTTTCCACACTCTCTCTCTGCCTGTTGTTTTTCAAAGGTACAAGTGTGACATTTTATAATATGAGAATATTTACAGCTTAAGACTGCAGATGTACTGTGCCCCTCACTTCACTGTCAGGCAAACATCACGAAATGTTGTCACCCCCTGTTTCTGCTCAGATTATATATAGTATTTTCAAATAGCTGGAATGAATAATACTTGTTTTGCGATGACTCGTACTTGCACACTTATCGAGACTTTCTTCTACCTCCTGCATCTACAGGCATGGCTGAATGGTAGGGCTGTGTTGGTCAGCGGTCCTAAAGCCTCTATAACGAACTCAGAGGATACTCACACCTACCCAGTTACACACCTGAATCTGATTTAACAAAGCTGAGGTACAAATCTCACAACAGCATGGTTGGCCTGTTGGACTGCACCTGAGCTACCCTGCGCGTGGCATTCATTCCAGCGAGAAAGTAGAACAGATGCACATAGAGAAAGTCCCTCAGCTACCCCAGGATCAGAGCGAGGTGTGCGAAAACCCACGTACAGTGAAAACTGCTCATCAACCTGCGTCTTCTGGTCTTTGCCTTCAAACAGATACCCAACAGCTGGGACTGCCACAGCCCTGACCTGAAGAGGCATAAATCCACCGCAAACAGCGGGCCCAGGCAGCGGACCTCAGTAACTTCAAGACCTAAATTTGGCCCAGGGTACCAAAACTCTCTAATCTGGCTCCTCAATAAATACAGACTTCGGAGGAGACCTCTGCCTCTAGCAGGAAAAATTATTTCGCGTGGCAGCTGCTACCGAGCCCTTAGACACAGACTGGTCCGTTCCCTTCATTTTACTCCTTGGGCCGACAGACAGAACTGAACCCGACGTTTTATGTTACAGCAGGATTATGTTCTCCCAATTCCTACATAGAATAAACAGCACGTTACCATTTTGTAAAAACAAAACTTCATAAATCTTTGTCCTGGCAATTTTGTTCTTTGAAACCTATTACAGACATCCAGTTAGAACATACTGACAACCCTTCTACCACTTCCAGAGGAACCAAGTCCAAGAGCTTCTCTGGGATAAAAACTGTTACTCTTCTAATGTATTACTGAGATGACTGCAACATACAATTAGGATGAAGCACTGTCTTCACAGGCAGTGAATTTGCTACTTAATAGTTTTAAAATGTCAGAGAACACAAAATTCACAAAAAGAAAACACTGATGTACTCCAGGAAGAGACTGCATCAGGAGTCATGTTCTGATTATTACAGATAAGGAGAGAAAATGAAGGAAATAACGGTCTTCAAATATCGTGATTGATTTTTCAAAAATACCTTGGATTTCAGCAAATGACAATGGAAAACTATCTCTTGGCAAGGTGAAGCATTAAAAATTCCTTTGAACATGGTATCTCTTACACAGCAACACATTTGTGCCATAGAAGTGTTTTCTCCTGCCTATGACAAGATTTTATTTCTTCAGAAAAGGTACATTTTTTCCTGAAATGGACTTCTTTGGACTTCTTTTTTGCAAGCACTTTTTGAGATATACTTAACTTATATTTAAAAGATGCATTTAGTTCACATAACCTGTTGAAATTACTGAAAGGAAGAAAAGGAGACAATTAAAAAAAGAAAAAGCAAAAAAAAAAAAAAAGCGAGTTACAACTGATTCTTCATGCTAGAAGATTTCTGATGATCTTTGCTAAAAGATAAAGCTCCAGGCTACAAGTCCAATTCGCTACCAGCAACTTTTCATCACTTCTATGATAAATATCCTCTTGATTTTTGCTCTGGTCACTCCAGTCCTTTACTTTCCCATGTTTTGCCAGTTCTCTCTTCTCAATGTAAATTGCAGAATTAGCTTTACAAACTTTTGAGAGTTGCTGGAAATTTTTCTTGTTTTTAATTGAAGGGCTAATTGCAGCTCTCTAAGTTTTCCCTAGGACACTTGATTAGAAGTGTGACTTTTTATTTTTGTTTTTGCCTCCACAGCACAATGGGAAAACCTGACCGGGGACGCTTCCCAAGTTTTACCCATCTCTGTCAGTGAACTTGACAGGCGAGTTGTTACCAAGCGAGGGGGTAATAAGAGAGATCATCATCATGACTGTGCACTTTACTGATATGCTGTAATCAAATGTGGCAGATTTAGGATGTTCAGAAGGAACTGTGCTCGAATCTCTAAGCAAGCACTAATGGAAAGGTTAATATGATGGTCGTTAGCAGACACCAGCAAAAGCAGTTTGTCACGAGAACTGAATTTAAACCAGGCACATTCAAAGTCTTTAGCTCAAGGGGGCAATAAAAATATAGAATGGGTAGACTTAATACACTATTTCCTTCCTTTTTTTATTGTCTAGCTACCAGAGGGTATCAATAATTTGTTATGCTTCATATTATATTTGGAGGCATCTGTGAAATTCGTTCATTTGATAGAATAAACTCAAAGTGTATTTTTATGCTAACAATACCGATTATACAAATGAAAATTGACAGTGATAAAAAGTCTTGATTTCTACAAAGCAGCCACACGAATTTGGGAAACATAAAATGCAATGGGACAGCCCCCAGTTTTAATATCTAAAACACTGATGGCATTGATGTACCTGCTGGTTTCGGCTCTAAAGAAGTCTAAATCATCGAACAAAAGCTGTCAGTCTGTCTGTCCCTCTTTTTTCACATGCATCCATCCAAACACAAAAGTGGCATGTTGGACGCGGTTTGAATTGCGCGGCTTCCATTATTTATGCAAAAGGGTGCAGTCAAAGCCCTATCGATTCTTTTACACTGCAAACAAATCCATTAAGGTGGGTCTTCTTCCAGTGAAAAAAACACCTAAAAGGATTTACTTGCGTTTAGTTCTGCAATTTAGATTTCAGTAAGATCACTTACTATCCGCAAAATTAGCACAACCGTTGTCACGTTAATTATAGTATTTAAAACCTGCCTGTTTCAATTCAGCACTAGAGACCAATAGCTGGTAGCTCTCCAGATGAAGTTATCTGAATTTAGCCAATGGGAGCTACCATTCAAATAAACACCCCGAGCAGATGAAATCCAAAGCTCTGAAAATCCCTGTAAAATCAACAGTGTTTACTTCAAGAAAGTAGAGGATCGTACATTCTCCGAGCACAGATAGAAAACACCAACTCGAATCTGTTTTGAAACACAAATTCCACACTACCCCTTCTAAAAGAAGCTGTTTGCAGAAGCACGGTTTACATTAATCAGTACCCAACAATTCTATACACAACCTTTCTAAAATTCATTTGCATAATGCTAATCCGCACATGGCAGGGTTTAAGTTATTTAAGCAGTGTTCTATTTCACTATTTCGTCTTGCTTCACCACTGCTTTAGCCGTGAATCCTTCTGGAGTGTAAAGCAGCTAATGAGGCAGCTTTTTAACTGAACAAACTGACAGGTCCCGTATCTGCAGAGGCAGCTTGAAACCGTGCCCAACCTCTCGGCTTCCCAAGAGGCTTTTCAAAATTCAATAAATAACATCTGTAGGCGATGTTGGGTGCAGACCTAGCAGAGTGCGTCATAACACTGAGCTGGCAGAACAAAGAAACCATGACGACTGCCAAGTTTCCATGGCAACCGCTGCGAGGCTTGGAGAGTATAATAGCACATCAATCATTGTCCAAAAGAACTTCATTATCAGCAAGAAAAAAACCTTTAGGATCTGTTTAGTGTGCAATTGTGGGTTAACTCACCTCAAAGCCTTGCTCTCTAGCAAAAGTGGCAGCTTCCTGAAATAATAAAAAAAGAACAGTTAATTATAAAGTGCTAGATAATGAAGAAATAACACATTTTGAAACTCCTTCAGCCAGCTTTGCTTTTACGCGATTATCTCAGTGTACCCATAGACAGTTGTTCGATTCTGATAGTCGCACCAAAGGCTTCCCCCAACAGCAGCACAATGCCAACACACTCCACAAGTTAAAATAAAGAAGGTACAATCTGTTTTTTCCAGGCGAGGAAAGTTACTTCTGGAGACTGGAGACTTTGACTAGGAAACCACTACTTCAAATCCAGACAAACATCCTTCAGACATATTTTTAATTGAAATTGTATCGTGGCTCCGTTTATGTGTGGCACTTCATGGGATACAGGTTATCAAGCCATTTTAAAAAATCATTTGTCATCTACGGTGCATTAAAAAAAACGGATCACCAAATGTGTTCAAACCCTTGCGGTGGAATCAGAGGGGCATTTTAAAATACTCTGATGTCTTAATCACTGCTTTAGGCAATTTAACTCTGTTCTTTTCCGAAAGAACAGAGGAAACATCGGGGTATCAGAATGCCCTCATTTCTTATTTATATTAATGGGAGTAATTAAAATCTGTTTCGAAATAAAAGCAAGGAGACAGAAGACAATAGCGCTGGTTTTCCCTTACTCACGTTCTACCCTAACGCTGCAAATTTTGCAGTGAACCCTCAAAGTCTAGGTGTAGTGCTCTACACCTAGCACCGTGGACATGTCTATGGCAGCAGTGAGATCCCCATCATGACTTTCCATCTGACACGGAAATGGGAGTGTTTGGTAGATAGGCTCTGGTTTTGAGATGTTTCTGTAGCAGTTGAAGGCCATCTGGGTGGAGGCTGCGGCAGCTTCTCCTCCCCAGCCTCTTGCAAGTTCCGGACTCCTCTCTTGGGACTCGTACAGCAGTGTGGAGAATTGATTCAATGGGTTGGTCTAATGGCTACCAAAGCATTAGGATTTTTTTTGCATGGAGACATTTGTCATTCACATTAGCACACTTCGCATCATGCAAATAGATAATAATAGAGAAGGCTGAGAGGGGACCTCATAAATGCCTATAAATATCTTAAGGGTGGGTGTCAAGAGGACGGGGACAGACTCTTTTTAGTGGTAGCCAGCGACAGTACAAGGGGCAATGGGCACAAACTGAAGCAGAGGAAACTCCATCTAAACATGAGGAAGAACTTCTTCACTCTGAGGGTGACGGAGCACTGGCCCAGGCTGCCCAGAGTGGCTGTGGAGTCTCCTACTCTGGAGGTACTCAGAACCCGCCTGGACAAGGTCCTGTGCAGCCTGCTGTAGGTGACCCTGCTTCCGCAGGGGGGTTGGACTAGATGACCCACAGAGGTCCCTTCCAACCCCTACCAGTCTGTGATTCTGTGAAAGTCTTTACGTTGGAACTTGCATTCTTCCAGGTTCTCTTCGCCAAGTGACCTCAACAGAGGGAGAAGTCTTGAGGCAAAAGGGTGAGTTAATCCAACCACACAATTACCACACCAAACCATTTGAGGCCAGCGTCCCTACGACTGCTTTTAGCGCTGCAGAAAATACACACTTGTGGACCTAGATGGTCTGCCAGTTTGGGGGCTATGTAAGAACTGGAAGTGGGCACAACTGATTATACCAGCAGGATGTTGAGGTTAATAAAATGTGATAAGCTGAAAAGCACAACTCCTCCGGCTGCTTCGCTGCAGAAACATAAGGCTGACCGGGTTAGCCTTGGCTGATGTTGACAGCAAAACTGAATCACGGTCCTGACAATTGGGTGCGGGCAAGGTTAGCCACTTTGACAATTTACTCACAATTGAATTCCTTCTTGTACATCACACAGCCAATGACATTTGCTAGCCTGGCTGTCAAGAAGGAGTGTAGGGTTCAGAGATATCACGCAGTGTTTTCCTAAACCAGCATGTGATTAACAAAGCCTATGCTTGTACGAGAAACAGAGCCTGCAAGCCTCCGCTCAGAAGCGATGCCCTTACAATGGACTGCAACACAAGCACTAAAGCCTCAGAGGGGATTGGGACACATCAAAAAACAAAAATAAGAAAAATAAAGGAGTCATAAGGGGGCAGAGAGTAAGAAAACAGATTAAAAATGACATGCTGTAGCCAAAATACTTCTTTAACCTCAGGTTTTTGGTCACGCAGTTGAAATCGGAAGTTACACTGATCTGTCCTAAGGGGATTTTTTAATGTCCCGATCACAGAATCTCAGAATCCCAGAATGGTCGGGGTTGGCAGGGACCTCTGTGGGTCCCCCAGCCCAACCCCCTGCCCAAGCAGGGTCACCTACAGCAGGCTGCACAGCACCGCGGCCAGGCGGGGCTGGAATATCTCCAGAGAAGGAGACTCCACAACCTCCCTGGGCAGCCTGGGCCAGGGCTCTGTCACCCTCAGAGGGAAGAAGTTCTTCCTCATCTTCAGCTGGAACTTCCTCTGCCTCAGTTTGTGCCCGTTGCCCCTTGTCCTGTCGCTGGGCACCACTGGAAAGAGTCTGGCCCCGTCCTCCTGACACCCACCCTGCAGATATTTAGAAGCATTTCTAAGGTCCCCTCTCAGTCTTCTCTTCTCCAGGCTGAACAAGCCCAGCTCCCTCAGCCTCTCCTCGTAGGAGAGATGCTCCAGTCCCCTCATCC